TAGACAATTGTAAACAATCAGGCAATGAATATTATTATTATTATATCAAATGGCAGGCGTTATGATGGTTACCATTAACCCTTTAGTTGACTTCAGTCTTCACAGAGGGGAAGGAACACCAAAATGTAAAAAATTCAAGAAGGGGGGGGGGACAGAAGAGTGAATCAAAGACGAAGGTAGATAAGGTGGAAAAAAAGGTGATATGAGTACTGTGGAAAGAGTCGAATATGACAACCAGGGGGGGGGTTATGGTAGTTTGAAGTGAGAAGTCAACTGCCAGATAATAGACTTTTTTGCCGAATGAGTATACGTTGCCCAGGGTGCACCACGTGGAGGTAAGTCTATCACTCACCCCAGCAATGAATATTGATCAGTTGCAAAGAAACCTAGTAGCGTATTGGTTCTTGAGCAAATCCACAGTGTCGCGTTTCAGTAAATACTACTTAATCATTCCTTAACAAAGTAGTGGACTCCACATGAGTTCTAATGAAGAGAGCATTAAATGCCAAAGTTGCAAACAGGTTTTTTTATGCATTAGCCATAAAAGCCAACACATAATCTTATTACTTTTCATAATGATTAAACAATTTATAAATCAAGCATGAAACGGGACATTTGATACTGCATACTTAAAGTATGGAAGTGAAATTTTCGGGCTAATCATTGGGAGAAGAATCTGCATGTCATAAGTCATATCCAAAATTGAAAATTAATTTTAAAATTATTCTTTTATATATTTTTTACAAAGATATTAATTATTACTATCATTTCAAATGGCGGGCGTTTTGAATAGTAATCATTAGCCATTTTATCTGGCGTCGGGCTTCACGGAGGGGAGGAGGAACATCAAAGTGAGAAAATTCGAGAGAGGGAACAGAAGAGTGATTCACAGATGTAGAAGAGACAGTCAGACACAAAGGTAGAGAAAAGGTGAGATAAGTACTATGAAAGTTGGGGAAGATGGCATAAAATGGGGTCATAGGAGTTTGAAGTCAGAAGTCAACTGCCAGTTAATAGGCTTTTTTGCCGTACGAGTATACGTTGCCCAGGTGCACCACGTGGAGGTAAGTCTATCGTTCACCCCACACAAAGAGCTTATAATATGAAATATCATGAAATATTAAGCAAGGTCATTCTGGCTTTTCAATTAAACGACTATTTAATAGACATCAGCTATCGTGGACAAGAAATTTCAATCTGGGATTAAGAATATCACACCATTAAAGGATTTTGCTTCATAATGTCAACGTTCAAGAGAAGTATGACTCTTTGATAATTAGATTTTACGATCAACGCCTTAGCTACCCTCCATCCCATTCCATTTATTGAACTCACTGTTAACCGATTTCACTCGCCTTCAATTACTGCAAAAATGGTTCAATATCTTCCATTACAGTGGTTTGTTGTAATAAAACGTTTACCAAAATTATTCTGAGGGATACAACCAACACATAGCTATGTTTCTAGGCACATAGTATTCCGAATTCAAAACCAGTGAAAAATGATGATCAATTTTTTATGAATCTTACACTACGCATCTAGCACTTCTATTTCTCCAATGGAAGTGAATGAATATGTCCAGAAGGAGTGAGAGGGAGGAGGAGAGTAATGCCAAACAGAATTCGCTATTCTTGAATTGGAAGGCTATGTATAATTTTGTTCAATTTGCTGCCTTGATTAGAACATCCTCCAAGCTACTCATATTGGGGACTTGAATTTACACAGATCAGAGTTAACTGGTGCCCAAATTCATTAGCATTACTGAAAAGGAACCGTCAAGTGTCGTTATTATTATCTAAGTTGCGGTAAACGCTCATGGCAGCCATAATTACACACAGTTTGCGTTTGTGCTATTGTGCAATGTCGTTTATTTTTATTGCTAAAACAGGCAGTGAGTACCAATGCTTAAAATTACAAGTTGTTTTTCACCCAACTACCGAAGGACGATAAGAAATCTCGGATGGCTACCACCGCATTAACCCTTCGTCAGATAAACTTTTCTGATATAAATCCAATTACTTTTAATTGAGTTCGTAACGGATACAGGGAATCAAACCTGCGATGAGTGCAGAGTAGAAACTTAGGTTTGATCATAACAAATGTACAAGCACGTCGGGGTGACTAAGTGGCATTTTAAACGAGCATTTCAGCAGATGTCATCAGTAAATTCGGTTGACAACAAGCGAGGAAGCCAGATTGGTTATAGGAAACCTGAAGAGAAAAATATTTGCGGAGGTGAGGTTATACCAAACATATAGTTAGTCGGAGAGTGGTCATTAGTTAGATTGGCCCAGACACACCATCGTGTGTCTGTATGCCAGTCCATCACTTTACTTCATATAAAAATCCTGTAACCAATATAAATGGTGTTACGCATAGATTTGGGAGTCCCATAAGTAAAAGGAAAATACCTTTGAATGGAGTTAAAAGAAATTTAGGCTTTATTATGAAAGAGTTCTACTCAATGTATCTACCGTTAGCAACAATTATAGCTTCAAACTGACCCCGGAACCTAGCGAAGCCTTCTTTACACTTTCTTTGCCCAGCCTACTTTCATTCTGTCCATAAACTGATTGACTTTGAAATACTGCCAAGACGATTAGTACCCTTCTCCGTGATGCCCAATGAATGAATAATAGTTCATGGAGTGGAGATCTATGTGAAGAAGGGGGAAGTTCGAAGACCAAGACTTGGCCTGGTGTAGTCATAAAACTTGGATAGCAAGCTTTTTTACTTTCCCTGAGGTGTGACAGGGATTGAATAGAGCTCCCACTTTACATATGGCCTATTATTGGCTGCTCTCATTCGTTATACAAGGCTTAACAACAACAAAGTTTCATTTGATCAGACGCTTCGTCTACCTTGTCGGAGGCTTTTAGCGGGACTTATGCTTAAGAAGTTGACTTCTGCAAAGTTCGAAGCAGAGGCGGTTTTCAATTAGAGCAAACTTCGAGGTAGAGGCTGAAACCCATATTTAACTCTGCAGACAACTTCCAAAGTCTTTCACTAGGAGGATCTCCAAATATTCGAGACGATCATGCCTTCTGGTATGTTACACTCTTCTAATCACACGAGCCTCTTTTCTAAAAGATGTACTCCTCCAGTTCAGCTTGATCATTTTTGCAGTTTTCCGGGAGTACTTTGACGCGACCAGAGTCTTTATTTTGATGGCCATCTGATCCATCATGAAATAAGTTCTTTACTTAATGATTCAGAGCAATTCCAGTCATTTGCACTCGTTGTCATCATGTGTACGAAAAAGAAGAATTTGGCAACCGAACTCTACTCCGAGCAACTTACCCTGAACACCCTCCCGGTTCTATTGGCAACCCCATTCCATTACTCGAACCCGCTATGGGGTTACAACTATAATACTTTATTCGTTATTAATGGGAGTCAAAATCTATCTGGTATTGTAAATAAATTTGATCATTAAAATATTTTTAAGACACATATTTCGGGAAAATACGTTTTAAATTTGAATATGAGCCGTTAAAAATGCAATCCTACTTTTTAATATTTTATTATTATTTTATTACTATACATTTATTACAAAATTACATGCTCTAAACCTCCCAATAGCTTTCTTTGCTTTAGTAACTTTAACAACTACAATTTTTACAAAATATTTCTGAAAAAGTGAAACGATAAACAGCCGTCTCGGACAGATTTATTAAAAATATTTGTCTTTCTGGCTATTATAAGAATTTCAACCAATTAAGTAGACTGTGTCGACCTTGAAAGTGGATTGCTTATGTATTGATACTCACAGGCGAGCCCGAAATGCGTTGGTGGACAAAGACAACGACAGTATTCGATTGCATTTCGAGGTAAAATTGTCTCCCCGTGGTTAAGACATGGTCGAATGCAGTTGGCCACTTCATAGTAGAGCTTCCAAAGACCTGCTTCGATCTTTTCGGAGGAGAGATTTGATATGGATATTCGTTTTGAGATTTTTACTGGTTCAAAGCCCCGACCTCCATCGAAGCTCACGTCTAAGGGTGGTTCTTGAACTGTTGGATGAAAGTGATATCCACTAGAATGGGTAACTAACAGGAGACCCATCAGGACAATTTCAAAAAACATTTTTTCTGGCTGTGATTAGAACTCTATAACGAGAAAGTTTTTATACTCAGGTAACTAGCCAATGGTTGCTGTCCGTGGTTTTCCAGTGGTTTCGGGGAGGGGGCGGATGACGTGTAAGAAATAAGTAGTTTCTATTCATTCGAAGTGTTGACTGCTAATCTGTTTCTCTACTAATTGAAATTAATAGGTGCACGATTGCGTCTAAGTATAACACTGCACTACCAGCTATATTTCTTTCTTTAAATGAGCTGTAGATACTTGCATCGTTAAGTAATTATTGTTTCGCTTTTAAATCTTATTTGAAATGTGAAAATGTACCTAATGCCTATTTATAGTGAATCCTAATATGTATTTAATATTTTTCTTAGTGAATTTGATTTGATTTTATTTGGTATAGCATTTCCTATTGTGCTTAGTGAAATATTGTCGTTAGGTTTCAAATCATGAATTCGATTATTATGGCCAATGAAAACTTAGTAAGCCCCCTTTACCCATATTTTGATTTTTCAAGGTACCTATTTTAGAAAAAAGAAGCTATCTAGAAGTATTAAAAAGTTTAATTTTTTAAATAACGCAAAAAATTGTTAGCCAATAATGAATATTAAAGTATTATTTGGCCAGAAGTTTTAAATATATGGGAGTGCTGAAATTTTGGGACTTTAAAAAAGGACATTTATGAGTTATGAAGAATGTTATTTTCTGTTCCGAGGAGAAAAGTAGTAGGAACGCTTCCGTCGTCTTTGTTTTCAGCTGTGGGCATAGACGGTCAGAATGGTGTTTCTGGTACTCACTCGGTTTGCTAGAGAAGAATTGATTTTCACTCCAACTATTGTATTTTTTTACTTTCGATGCACTGGAGTTCCAGGATTCATTTGTTCACTTCAAACTTGTCTTAAAGTGTACCAGAGTAAGTATGCCGCTCGTAATTAATTCATTCTGGCTGTTACCCATTCCAGTTCTCACGCCTATAGCAGAGCTTCATTGTCTATTTTCTCGATTTGCCATATATATGCATGTATATTTATTTATTTAAATGAACCTATGATCTAAGCCCATGACTTAACTCTCCTATTTGGAGAGTGACGATTGTTAACTTGTTGCCCTACGTAACAGTGTTACTTGGATTTGGTGTCTCCATTTACGACAACCAGACGACACCTCACAGAATCAATACATAATTTTCATGTTCTCATCCTCACTTATATTTAGCCAATCAGGTCTATCCTAATTAGCCCGGATAATTCGTGAGCAAGCCGAAACGCGTTTTCATTTGTTAAAATAATGATTGTTTAGTCATAATCAAACTGGGATCTTCGATTCTTATATTACAGGGGTGTGCGATAGACTTACCTCCACGTGGTGCACCCTGGGCAACGTATACTCATACGGCAAAAAAGTCTATTAACCGGCAGTTGACTTCTGACTTCAAACTACCATGACCCCACTGCATTTCATATTCGAATAATTTCACAGTACTCATCTTACCTTACCTTTTCTCTACCTTTGTGTCTGTCTGTCTATCTCTTTTACATCTGTGAATCATTGTTCTGTCCCCCACTCGACTCTTTGCCACTTTGATGTTCATCTTCCTTTCTATGAAGCCCGAAGCCAACTAAAGGGCTAATGATACCTATCATAACGCCTGCCATTTGAAATAAATAAATAAATAATTCTTATGTTACATTTTCAATATCATTTAACAGTGCTAATGACATATAAATAATAACTTAGATTATTGAAAAGACGAAATATTAGCCAACATTCGTATTCATAGCAAGAGTTTTAGATAACACTAATCACCTATCTTGTAACTTCAGAAAGAGACATATTCCTCACATTTCGAAGGAAAATAAAAAAGACAAATTTTGCCCTTAAAAGGAAGTTGAAAGAAATATCTAACCATTAAATTCAAGAAAATGAAGAATATTTTGATATTCGACAAAATCGAGTTATGATGAGCGCCATGATTGAGTCCAGATACTCTTGGTGATGACACTTGGTTGCTGCATTTCTACGTTTTCAGAGATCACGACGATGCTTCATATCTTGTACACTCAGTAAGCTTAATGACCATTCACTCTGGCTAATTTTGAGGGTGATCGAAACTGTCTCTCTCACTGATGTCTCTCTCTCCACCCAAAAGTAGCTGTGGAAGGCGTTTTCATAATTGCACTTGCAAATTTTTATCGTTCTGGCAATATATTTTGTTAGTCTTTTGTTGCTACTTGCATTATAAGAGTAGAATGGGTTATTTAAAATTATAAAAAAAAAGTATAGTTTTTTTTCAAATGGCAGGGTTTGGGATATTTATCATTAGCCCTTAAACTTTGACTTCAGCTTCCCCCAAGAGTGGGGGGTACATTTATAGAAGTTAATTAATAGCAGTTCATTAGCCGTCTTCTTGCATCCCAGTATCTCTGGCTTTCCGTCCTTGTCTTTAGAGCTGGACATCGAATCAGGTGGGTCTTCCCAATTTCCTCATGTAGGTTACATAGAAGGCATCTGGGTTGAGTGTATACTCCCAATCTGTGAAGATGTTTTGTCAGGCAATCGTGTCCGGTACGTAGTCTAAACTCAGCAACGACTTCGATTCTTGGCCAGTCGGGTATGTCGGAGAGTGCCACTGTCCACTGTTTCTCCTTTGTTCGAGCTTTAAGTTCGTTGCACCTTGAGGTCTGGAATTCTCTCCTGATTAAGGCCTTCATTGTGTGGAAAGACATCGCCCAGTCCATGCATTGCAAAATCGTTGTCCCCTTCTTAGCAAGTGTGTCANTCGAATTTAAGTGAACGCTTTACCGAAATAAAATAGTCTTCTCTTAAATCATAATTTTGCCATATCATCAATCTATTATTGATATTTAAAATAAGGGGTCTGCGATAGACTTACCTCCACGTGGTGCACCCCGGGCAACGTACATTCATACGGCAAAAAAGTCTATTGACTGGCAGTTGACTTCTCACTTCAAATTACTATGACCCCACTCTATGTCATATTCGACCCCTACCACAGTACGCACCTCACCTTTGTTCTACCTTTGTGTTTGTCTCTTACATCTTCGAAACACTTCTGTTCCCCCCCCCCTCTCGACTTTTTTCAATTTAATGTTCCTTCCCCTCTGTGAAGCCTGAAGTCAACTAAAGGGCTAATGATAACCACCAAGACGCCTGCCATTAGATATAAATATAAATATTTAAAATAATATAACTTTAAATCAAATCCGTTTTTGTTAGAGGAAACACAGTAAATGATTAGATAGGAAAATCAAGCCAATAAGGTCACACAATGCCAATTCGAGTTAATTTATACGATGTCATGAAAATAGGTCACCAATATTCGAGGTTCGCCTTGATGGTAAATCCTAAAATAATAAAGAATATTTACTGCGTTATTTCACTTATTGTTAAAAATAGTAATAATTATATCATCATTATTTGATTTTGTACACACCCTTGGAGAATTGCAATAATCTTGTTTACTTCCGATTCTGCCGGGTGGCGTGAGGTCCTTATGAAAGAGAAACAAATATTATCACTGAATCCCTTCATTTACTATTAAAAGTAGCAAATAAAGGCATTTAGAATGAACCTGTGGACTTCTGGATCTGTTGCTTGTAGAAGTGTAGAACGATGGTTTAGAAAATGCCATCGGAGAATAATAATAGTCATATTGATCTCCGTAACCTCCTCTTGATGTTGATATTAAATTCGATTTCTCCAATGCCTGCATTATCTATGGAATAACAAAAAATTGAAAACCACAATGAAGCCTTAGTATTCATCATCTTCTTCTTCTTCTTTGTCTCGTCATGCCAATGCAAAGAAATACGACTCGCAATATTCAACGCCTCTATATTGCCTTCCCGGGGTGTGCAATAGACTTACCTCCACGTGGTGTAAAAAGTCTATTAACTGGCAGCTGACTTCTGACTTCAAACTACCATCACCCCACTGTATGTCATATTCGACTACTTTCACAGTACTCACCTCACCTTTTTTCCACCTTTGCGTCTGTCTCCTTTACATCTATGAAACNGACAGGGAATGTTACATTTAGTGAGGATGTTGCAATTAGCTCATTGGCGGTTGCAGTTTCTCCTTTCTATCCACATTGACGCAAAAAAATACAAATTTTCATTTCGGGAAGTAGCAAAAAAGAAGGGAAGCAGAGAACAAAGTCGGTGCATTAAAGGGTATAGCATCATTATCACCCCTGGATTCGGGCAGATCGCGTTCAAAATTAAAGCTCTGCGATTCGCTCCGATGAATCGTAGTGAAGGCTTGTTATGAAGTTCATTGCCTATCAACCGGTCTTATTTCAAAGCAAAGGAGGCATAGAAGCAAATCATTTTTTTCGAGATATTTATTTATATTAAATAGCAGGCTTTATGATAATTACCATTAACCCTTTAGTTGGCTTCGGGCTTCACAGAGGGGAGGAACAAGCAAATTCACAAAAGTCGGCAGGGGGGAGGATAGAAGAGGGAATAACAAGTGTAAATGCCAGTTAATAGACTTTTTTGCCACATGAGTATACATTGCCCAGGTTGCACTATATGGAGGTAAGTCTATCGCACACCCCTTTTTGTGATATTCAAGTGCCTTCAGTTAAGGCAATTAAAGCGAAATAATCGATTCTTGTGTAGCTGGCTTTGTGGCTTTCAAAAGTTCACTTATTCTTGACTTTCTTTTCACATTATTGTTCTTCAGTATGGATTGTGCATAATGACACATTATCCTTGACAAAATTAAAATGCAATTAAAATATTTTGGGAAAAATTGTTCGTGAACGTATCAAGTGATGGCAGTCTTTTCTCTAGGCTATAAAAGCTTACAAGGAATTATTACTGCGTTCCACTTGATTCGATGAAATAGTACACCTCAATTCCCTCTCCAAAGACTAACGTATACTTATACGGCAAAAAAGTCTCTATTCGGCAGTTGACTTTTGACTTCAAACTATCATGACCCTACTGTATGTCATATTCGACTACTTTCACGGT